TTACCTCCTAACCTAGAAGGACGTTGTCAGCATTTGTAAATCTAAAAGGTCCATCAAAGCCATAATAGGGTGCGCCTGGGCATCGAGTTACTGGGTACGTAAGGGAACTTACGGAACGTTTGATTCGAAAATTTGTAGGCCAACCTATAAAGTTCCGGGGTCAGCTCCAGAACGGAAAGCATCGAGTGTGCCACCCCCTTCCGTAACCGGATACTGACCTTGGACCATTTGCCAACCTATTCAACGATAAGTCAATATTTGTCAAACACTCGAACGAATTGCGGCGACGGGCCCAAAGAATGCAGAAGCAACAGGCTTAGAGCCCAACCGGAAGGGGAAAGGGAAGAGAAAATACTCACAGGCTCAAGCGTTACGCCACGGTTGATAAGTGCGGAGGCAAGTTCTCTCCTGCTTGTCTTCAAAGTATTTGTTCTGGGGACTGGATTAATAGAAATATCGTTGATAATATCTCAGAGTGTGCATACCTTATGACAATAGGGCGAGGGCTTCAATATTGCATGTCAGTAATTCCAATCCTGACCCTAGCGGAAAGAGCCCAGAGTAAACTGGTCCTGGCTATCACTCACGTCTCGTTGGCATCGAAAAATGCAAGTGCCTCTCTCTATTTGGCTGGTCAGTCCCTACAATCTGAATAACGACGCTGGGAAGGGGAAAAGGTAATAGCTTACCGGTGGGAAGAGGTTGAGCAGTTTTTCCGCAAGAAATTCAGAGTATCCTGTATGGCTCAATGTCAGCCCCGTCTCAAGGGACCCGATATTTCGGAGGGTACATCTAGTCACCTACCGTAGTATGCACAGATGTCCTTCAGCAGCTGGGCTGTATACTCCGATCGGGAAGTACCCTGCTCCGAGAGATTGGCGAAATCGTCGAGCACACGGATCGTATCCGATATCCTCTGTCTTAGCAGCTGTAGATCAGGGGCCAGCAGGGGCTGGTTCTGCTGTTCCTCCTCTCCATCTTCTAGGACGTGGGGGACGTCAATGTTGGTTTGTAGAGTCTCTTGGAGTTCGGCTTCAGCGTCTGCCTCCTCTTCGGCCTTCTCTTTGTCCAGCTTCCGGGACAGGCCAACGATGTTGGCAGCCGTGAGTTTCTCCTCGGCGTCCCCCTCGGAATCGTCCTCGTCCTCGGAGAACATGGCTCTTCGCTCCCCTTCGCCCTCTGAATCGTAAACGGAGTCGTCCGATCCCAAGAAGTCGTCTGGAAGCCCATCCTCCTCGTCCAGGCCGGACATGTCTTCGTCGCTGAATCCGCCTCCCACTCCATCACTAATATCTTCGAGGTCGAGCTCGGGTTCGGGCTTCGCTTTCTTGGATTTCGACTTTGCTGCTTTGCCATTCTGTACCGGGACAGGCTGGGCGGCTTTCACACCATTCGACTTCCCATTTGCCTTGCCGGTTGCCTTGCCAGTGGCCTTGTTACTAGCCTTGCCATTTTGCGCCTTTCGCTTCTTCGTCTCGGGAACGTCGTCGACGGGAAGTCCAGCTTTACGCTTCAGTTTCGCAAAATGCGCTTCGGACAGAGGCTCCGGTATGCCTTGGTGCTTGAGTCGGTTTCCAGTACCCATTTTGGCTGATCAATTCCACGCAAAGTTAACGAGCTGGCGTTGCGTATAGGATACAGAGAGAGGGTGCTATTGCAACTTGCGACTAGGATTTGCTCCAGGAACTTTTTTGAGAGAGGGTCCATATAGATAAGCGGATAAGAACTCTATCCCCACTTCAATCAATGCACTAAGGCGAGCTAAGTATGAGGTACCTCACGCCATGGGGCTGACAGCAGCTCCAGCCACAAAGTGGGGTGCTTGGCCCGGACACAGTTCATCATCATCATGGCAGCCAGGCCGTCTATGCAAGCAGCCGGTAGCTCAACTCCTAGACATCAATGAAACTTCTTGCCCAAACATAGCACGTATCCCGACCTCGATCAAAATGACGGAAGTATTCTTCGCGAAAACATTCCTTGCAGCCCTAGATGGCCGTCCGATCAAGCTCTCGCCAGACCATGTCGAAGACCCCAAGACATACCAAGCGCGAGGCGCCGTGCGTCCCCCCTCCAACCCTACGCAGTTCTGGCTGTGTAAAGGCAGTCCGAATGCTAATGAAACGCCAGTATACCCTCCCTAAGATGCCGAAGACGATGAGCAAGCGCAGAGCCTCAAGCGTAGCGCCAGGCCAAGAACGCAGCCTCCTCGTCACCGTCAAATCACTCCGCAACCCACCGCTCGACCTGAGGTTCTCCTCCCAAGCCCTCAACACCTCGATACACGATGTCAAGAGCTCGGTGGCTAAAGAGACCGGTATCGCCGAGGCAAAGATCAAGATCCTCCACAAGAAGAAGCCCATACCCGATAGCAAAGTTCTGAAAGACCTGGTCGGCGAGGACGAAATGACGGTGGAGTTCTCGGTGATGGTCATAGGGGGCGCCGCCGCCACAGCGGCCAAGCAAAATACACAGAATGATGTCGCCCAAGGCTTAAGCGGTGAAGAGGTCCTAAAAACGCAGGAATTTTGGGACGACCTGAATGGGTTTCTACTGCAACGGATACGAGATGAAAACATAGCAGCAGAGCTCACGAACACATTTCAACAGGCATGGAAAGCCAAAGGGTGAGCCAGCCGGACAGTATAATCAGAAGTTAAAGATTAAGGCTGTGGCCGCCTAGATTCTTAATGCACTAGGTACACGGGAAATGGGGATTGTAGGTTGTCATGGGCTAGGGGTGCACTTTCGACAAAGATGCTTCGCTTTGACAAATGAAGTAGAGAAGTGTATCATTGGTTAGCAAGGAATCAGAGTTTTGTGTGCCGCAACCCCGATACTAGGCTACCAAACTACCGTTCGTTGCAAATCTGCAGCATATTGGCTCGCAACTGATTTCCCCTTGCCCCGGTATCATGAAGTCTGTAGGCTAGAACAGCCCAGCCCATCCTTTTTTATCTTCAGTCTAATCCACGCATAGCTGCAACTGGCACAATTAACCGGCTAAGCCCTTGCTGACGGTCTTGAGCACTGTATCGAATTCGATGTCATCTGGGTCATTAGCTTGCAGCTCAACGGCAACACCGTTGAGTGAGCGCTTTAGGCCCTCCTTGGACGAGGCATACACCATCTTGGGCTAGAGCGTTGTCAGTCTGCATGTCTTCACGCGACTAAGAGGTTGGGTATACTAACCATGACACCCGCATCGTCTGGGGACCAAGCGATGAAGGTAATCTTGTTTCTGTGTATGATATCAGCAAAATGAACCCATCTTGGTAAACTACGCCACCAACCGTGAGCCCTCTCCACCAGCGAGGCTGTACTCGAAGTCGTAGACAGCGTATCGGGGACCCTTGCAGGGAGCGCCCTAGCAGGATTGTGAGCATGTCAGGAAACTAGCTACCGGCGCAGTCACAGCTTACGCTCTTGGTCTTGGAGGTAGCCTTGATGAGCTTCTGGCGGAAGTTCTCCCAGTCCTTATCGCTGGAGGCTTCCTCGATCACGATCTCCCGGTTGTCGTCCGACAGCTTGAAGATGATGTACTTGTGCTTCTTGGCGAGCTTGAGGTCGTTGAATGCAGATATGCATTCCTGCGAGATGGTGGCTCTGCACCCAGTTGCACCGGTTAGCTACGCCTAACTTGAACCCTGCCAGAGGGGCTTCGGATGCGGTGAAGCGGCGCATGATTGCTGATGCAGTCGCGTGCGGGGGCGATGAAGGCTCGGGAGGGAAAAACAAACCCTGATTGCGACTACCAACGGGCACCGAGTTAGCACAGGAGCAACATGGTCCGCAAGAGACGGCGTGTGCAGGGCCTTACCATGGCGACGGTGGACGGGTGGGAGGCGGTGGAGGAGGATCAGGCGAGCTCTAGGGAACGGGTCAGCGCCGGCGCTACTGAATGCGCATCAGGGCGACGGGTAGATATAGGAGAGCGAGCGAGTGGTCGCAGGGTTGCAGCAGGCAGAACTGACAGAAGTGGATGGAATGGTTGAGCCGCGCTGACGTGGTCTGCAGTCTCTCAACAGTCGTCGGACCAGGCAAAAGTGGTGATAATAAGGGGCAGATGAGGGAAAGAGAGAGGTCGGGTTTGTTAGACTAGCTAGGTAGATAGATACCTGACAGCCTGGAGGTGGGATGTGTGGTGTGGGACGCTGTCGCAATGGAGGGCAGTGGAGGGGAAGATGGTCGGACACGGTCGAATAAAGTGACGTCCTGGCCCGGCCGACGCACACTGTGCCAGTAGAACGAAGGCCCGGTCGATGCAGGAGGGCTAGTGGCGGAGGTAGCAGGTACTTATCTGTTTATTTACCTGCCTAGTAGTACCTACGTGCTCGCCTAGGCAGCTCCTATTTACAAAGTGGCTAAAGTAGCAGCTACCTCCTAGACCACTAACTGCAGGCAGTACACATACAGAGAAGTAAAGACTACCTAAGTACCCAGGTTGAGCAGCTTCCGTAGGGCGAAAGACACCTTTCAGAGTACCTACGTACAGAAAGAAGTACGGAGTACCTACGAAATGGAAATTATATAGCGGGGTGAAGAAGTCGGCGGGGCCCTGGTTGACCATGAGATATGGTACCAGTCGGTTGGCTTGGCTGACGAGGGGTAACCATGACCTGACATTAGTTAGGTACACATGAGCCCTACATAATGCACTGTACAACATACGTACTTGCAGGTGGCTCAGATTTCTTCCGGGAACACCATTTGTAGCTCTCTGTGACATTTTAACATCCCATGGTGGCATAGATATACTACCTACCCAACAAGTACTTATGTTTACCCTAAAGGTGCCCAACCTTCAAGTTGACAGAACACAACAGAAGAAAACGACAAACATAAAAACTGGGGAGAAAGCAGTTTGTCGATGATCCGTGCTCTAGGTGATCCATATCTTAGCAGCAGGTCGGGAAATTAAGTAACACCAGAAGTTATGGAAGATAAAAAAAATTGTCATCGAAACAACAAAAAGATAAAGCACCAGCTTGAAAAATATATGTCCTGGGTGAGGCTTGAACTCACGACCTTTGGATAGCTCACTCTGAGAGTGCTTCATATTTCTATGAGACCAACGCTCTAGCCAACTGAGCCACCAAGACAACAGACTTGATTAGGTAATCATGTCTTCATCAAAACCTGTGTAACCTCATAAACGTCAATGGTTTAGCTAACATACCTAGCAACCCAGTGAACGGCGACAAAACAGTCCAAAGCCAGCACTATGCAGCTATCTCCCGGTCCAACTTCGTGGCAGACCACAGCAGATCACGCATGTCTTCCTAGTAATGGGCCCCCAAAGCCCTGTACCCATGAGCCCTTTTATAACGCTGCAATAGTAGCCTGGAGGGAACGCCGGTGTTGGTGCCTGTTCGTCAAACACGAGAGGATGACCATTACCGCGAAAGAAAGTCCAAACTCAGAATAATCGTCGGATTTAGACTTAAACAGGCTTTTCATCTTGTTTTTTTTTTTTTGACGGTGCACTGATCAAGCCTCCCCTGAGTCGCGTGACCACCGGGGGCGAGAGTGAGTGATATACGGGTCAGGGAGGTCAGTGATGACGATCTGCGGAAGCCGAGGTGGTGACAACCGACGAGGAGGAGACAGGCGGCGGAAAGACAGGTGTATCGGACGATGCAACATTCACAGAGACTGGCATAGTACTATGCCTGCGAAGCTGTCGCGCAGTATGGTGTCTATATATACCGTTATTATCAAGAAGGTGATAGCGGCGTCGTTTTTCAGTAACAGAAGCATAATAGATGCTAATGGCGGTGCTGGTGCAACTGACACTTTCCACGAGCAGCCTCGAGGATAAAGGTCCAATATAAGCCGGGATATCTGGCTCATGAGCCAGAATATAGTACAACAGACAACACCTCCCCCGGATGTTGATGTCCAACAGACTTGCTCTCAAGCCCAAATTTCGATTCGGAACAGCGTGCGACCAAGGGGACGAAAGAGCGATTCTGATGGCTTGTACTCAACACGTACCACGGCGAACCGAGCCCTGTCGCTCAAGAGAACGAACAGCGTCCAACTAGACAACAACATCTTGCATGAATCATAACGAACAGATTCTACATCGGTACACATACATGTTTTCATGAGGTTAAGGGCGAAGATTCAGAATTGATTTTAGCAAATTAATTGTAGTTTTTTTTCTTTTAGGCTTAGATCCACTGGAGTAAATAGTAGTGGTCAAGCAAGCTGGCTGACTATAGTATACACAACTTCTTTACAACGCCGCTCTGGATATCAGTAGTAGTGGTAATATGAACAATCAATGTACAAATGGTGAGTGAAGAGGGGAGAGGAAGAAAGGTTACATGGCCACATAAGATGACAAACTCCATCCCCCAAACACCTAATTCAATGCTCCTTTTAACCCAGAAACTTGGCTTTTGATACACGAGGAAAGGCAGGGCGAGGTGTCTCTGATTTCATCTCTTACATCATGCCACCCATACCACCCATGCCTCCCATGCCGCCCATACCGCCCGGGGGTCCGGCAGGCTTCTCCTCAGGGGCCTCGACGATCGCAACTTCTGTGGTGCCAAGCAGCGAAGCGACACCGCTAGCATCGACGAGACCAGTCCGAACAACCTTGAAAGGGTCAAGGATACCGGCGTGGATCATGTCGACGTATTCGCCCTTGGAGCTGTCAAAGCCCTTGTTGAAGTCGGCGCCGAACTCGTCCATCAGCTTACCAACGACAACCGAGCCCTCAAGACCGGCATTTTCGACAATGGTGCGGGCCGGGCGAGTAATGGCGTTCTTGATGATACTAACACCAAGCTGCTGGTCGAAGTTGTTGGGCTTGACATCCTTCAGAGCATGAGCAGAGGCCTTGAGAAGGGCAGTGCCACCACCAGGCAGAATACCCTCCTCAACAGCGGCGCGGGTAGCGTTCAAGGCGTCAATAAATCGGTCCTTCTTCTCACCAACTTCGACTTCAGATGAGCCACCGACCTTAATAACGGCAACACCACCAGACAGCTTAGCGAGACGCTCTTGGAGCTTCTCCTTCTCGTAGTCGGAGGTGCTGGGGTCAGCCATAACGCCACGAATTTGCTCGCATCGCTGGGCAATAGCGTCCTTGCTGCCTTCACCGTTAAGGATGATTGTGTCTTCCTTGGTAATGGTGATGGAGCCAGTAGAGCCGAGTAGATCAGGGGTAGCCTTCTCCAGCTTGATGTCGAGCTCATCAGTGAAGACAGTTCCGTTGGTGAGAACACCAATATCGCCAAGGATGGACTTGCGGTTGTCACCGAAGCCGGGGGCCTTGACTGCGGCAACTTGCAGCTGTCCACGAAGCTTGTTCAGAATGCAAACAGCGAGAGCCTCACCGTCGATATCCTCAGCAATGATGACAAGAGGACGACGCGACTGGGTGGAGGCCTCAAGGGCAGGGATGATATCTTGGACGGCGGAGATCTTCTTCTCGGAAAGGAGGATAAGAGGCTTCTCAAACTCAACCTTCTGGGACTTGGTGTCGGTGATGAAGTAGGGCGAAACGAAACCACGGTCGAATCGCATACCCTCGGTAACTTCAAGCTCATCGTTCAAAGTCTTGCCCTCCTTGACAGTAATGACGCCCTCCTTGCCCACCTTCTCCATGGCATTGGCAATGAGCTTGCCAATGTGCTCGTCTCCGTTCGCACTGATGGTAGCGACCTGCGCGATCTCTTCGCTGGTGGTGATATCGCGCTTGTTCTTCTGTAGGTATTCGACGACGGCATCTACGGCGGCCTGGGTACCACGGCGGAGATCCATGGGGTTGCAGCCGGCAGCAACGTTCTTAACAGTCTCGGAGAAGATGGCTCGGGCGAGCACGGTAGCACTTGTGGTGCCATCACCGGCGGACTCGTTGGTCTTGGAGGCGACATCTTGCAATAGACGAGCGCCTAGGTTTTCGAACTTGTCCTGCAAGCTGATGGCTCTGGCGACGGTTACACCATCTGTTTCAAGCAATGTTAGCATATCTAAAACAAGTATATTCTACAGAACATCAGGTTTAGCTACCCTTTGTGATCTTGGGCGAGCCATAGCTGGACTCGATCAAGACATTTCGGCCCTTAGGACCTAATGTGGTGGCAACAGCCTTTGCCAAGGTCTCAACACCAGCAAGCAGCGAGGCGCGGCCCTCGACACCAAACTTCAGCTCCTGTCATGTATATGTTAATAGGCTGTGCTCACGCCCGCGGCGCTCGATAAGAGTCCAGGGGAACGAACCTTGTGTGCAAATCGAAGCTGTTGCGAAAGGCCAGCACCGGCGCGGTATTTGGTAGCCGCCGAAGACAGGGCGGAGGCCCTGGCGCGGGACGAGAGAGCGCGCTGCATTGTGGTCTGCGGTATATGTATTACAAGAGATATAATAGAATTACACTGCCACGCGGAGATGGATTAGGGGAGAAGAGGAGGACGAAGTTGGGTAGGGGGAGCAAGGAGAGATATATGGGAGGATGGATTGGTTTGGTTTGGGGAAGCTGGGGGAAAGCTTCAAAAATTTCGGCTTTGACTACGAGGTCGACGGGCCGGCTAGAAGGGAAGCTTTGATGACGCTAACCCTCATCAGGTTAGTGCGCATGATAACTCCAGTTGGTAGAAAATCGTCGAAGCACTTATCTCGGTTTGTCGCATCCGTCTGGCTCATGCTCAAGAAATGCGTTTATCCGTAAAATACCTTACCTAGGTATCTCTCAGGGGTGATTGGAGAGGGATTGTCACGTCATTTGTTCATAGACAAATGATGACAACATCTATAACAAAATTACAAGACAATTACATTTTTTGAACATAGGGTCTATACAGGTAATTCATTACAACACACCTTCCTTGCGACGTGAATTATAAATCAACACATACCGTGCCTAGCATTAAGCTCAGGGGATATGTGGGTACCCGCTCACGCTGTACCTTCACGAGAGAGGACAGTTACAGTGACAGACGAGTATTGACGCTGATGGTTTGTGCTTATTGATAGTAAATGAAAGTACCAAGTAAGTATTGAACTAATGATAATCCCAAACAGTCCGTTCATTGCCGTGCCACACGGCAGCCATGGGCTGAGGCTGTAATGCGAGTACCACGGCTTTAACACAACTATCGCCGCCTCGGGCCTAGCTGCTGACAAAACATAGGATAGGCTCAAAGTATAAGAAGAGACTCTTGTCTACAGTGAGTCACGTCCAGAAGCACCATCACAAGCAACGACAAGAGTCGAGAGTACCCAATATACACGATGTCGACTATAGCTAAAACCGTCGTTGCCACTGGCGCGAGCTCCGGCCTCGTAAGCGATCAATGACCACCACCAGCGCATTCACCGTCACGAGCTACTGCTAATTGTTGTTGTAGGGATTTGAAGCTATTAAGCAACTGCTGTCCCAATCACAGCCGTACAACTTCGTTCTCGGTGCTCGAGACACCAAGGCGACGACAGATGCCTACAATGGGCTCAAGTACGACAGCAATAAGCACACGGTCACCATCTTGCCCCTTGAGCTTACCAACATGAAGACGGTCAAGTCATTCGCTCAGCAGACGCTTGATAAGCTGGGCCCAAGCCCGGTCGAATATCTGATGCTCAACGCAGCGACTGGCATGAGCAAGAAAGCGGCCGAGACGGGGCCGCATGGCTCGAAATGGATTGAGCCATATCTCGTCAATCATCTCTGTGAGTATTGACCCTCCGGGGTTTCGAATGTGATGAACACAACTGACGCTCGTGATAGCACAGCATTATCTCTTGCATCTCCTACGGCCGAAGCTGGAACAGTCCAAGACGCGGGTCGTAGTGGTTTCCTCCGGCGCCGTACGGATGGTAACGGACCCTGGTAAGGCGACTCCAGCTTCCACAACTTGCAACGATCTCAAGCAAGGCTAATCATGAACATGCCAGGCACCCTAGAGAATGAGATGTTAGCCGCCAAGGAGACAGAACAGGGGGTCTACCCCGCCACCAAGTTCATTCAGCTCCTCAGCGCACATTGGTGGCACCGCCAGCTGCAGGGTATTTGCGAAGTTGTGGCCGTGTCTCCCGGCTTGATCCCAAACACGGGCCTCGCCAGAGGCAGTGGTATGAAAATACCAGATG